TCCTGAGTGAAATTACAAATACGTGTAGAATATATTTAATTAGAAAAACCTTATAAAATGCCTAACTATAGAATTTAAAGACAGATTGACATGCAGTATATAGAACAATATTCTGTATAAATAACTTTAGCCTTTATACAAATGAGGTCACAGTCTGACAATATATTTTGAACTTCAGTAGGTACGCTGGTCCTCACAAACATGAATGGTTCCAAATAGCCAACTTTGTTTCCTTATAATAAAGTTATTTTACTCACTGCTAAGGCGTCAATGGAAAGGATTTATAATATGCAGTAGATTTACGAAGATACTGTTCATACTGATCCGAATTAAATTTGTATAGAGCAGACTTTTAAAGCAAATTTAAATAGCACTAAACATCTTCCCTCCTGTAACCTGTACTTACAGAGGTTCTTTTTGTAAAATAAAGAGTAATAAAAAATTAATAAATAAAAAGAATGAATTTCTTGACAACTTACATCTTTTTTCTGTTGATAGGAATATTGTTTATTGGTCATGGTGGAGATTTTGGTTTTCTTTACACAGATATGCAAACTATACAGAAGTTTGTGGTCTTTGATCTTCATTAGTAAGTATTTTAAGTCTTCTTCACTTTCAGCAAGCAAGTTTGTAATATCTGCATATTGCAGGTTGTTAATGAGTCCTCCTCCAATCCTGATGCCATGTTTTGCTTCATATAACCCAGTTTCTCAGATTATTTGCTCAGCATACCGGGTGAACAAGTATGGTGAAAGAATACAACCCTGTTGCACACCTTTCTTAATTTTAAACCCTTCAGTGTTCCCATGTTCTGTTCAGACATTCTGTTGGTCCATGCACAGATTGCTAATGAGCACAACTAAGTGTTCAGGAATACTCATACTTCGCAATGTTGTCCATAGTTTATCATAATCCACACAATCGAAAGCCTTTGCATACCCTTATTTTACGTCCTCTTCTAAATCCATCTTGAACCTCTAGAAATTTTCTGTCAATGTATGCTTGCAGCCATTTCTGTACTGCCTTTAGTAAAACTTTACTCTCATGGGATATCAAAGATATTGTCCGATGATTTCTGCATTTCATTGGGTCACCTCTTTGTAATGGGGACAAACACGGATCTCTTCCAATCAGTTGGCCACAAAGTTGTCTTCCAAATTTTTTGGCAGAGATGAGGTAGCGCCTCCTGTGCTGCCTCACTTTCTTGAAAGATTTCAATTTTTATTCCATCAGTTCATAGTGCCTTGTTCTTTGACAATTCCTTCA